ATTAAGAACCGTTCGTCGTATAAATAATTGTACAAACAAGTATGTTAAATATATCACTACGGTTTTTATAATAAGTCGATTACTTGCACAGACTTTACTATTATAGTCGTAAGTCGTATCTCATGATTCTTATTTGGATCGGTTGTTTATTTTTCATTAAGGATGATCTAAAACCGCTCTTATAACATGTCGGTACATTATAAATATTACGCAAAAGTTTACTAGATGCCGTATCAGACTGGTTTGCAACCAATAATTTACTTTTGAATACTACTGAAACTAAACATATGAGGCTTTCCTGTCCGCATTGATGTTAAGATGAGAAAATCCTGCCTGGAATATGCATTGATTCAAAATTGCAATGGGCAGTTCTAATAGAAAAAGTAGCAACGAAGTTGAGCGCTGCCTATGCCTTACGCAAGATCAGGCAGCTAACTAACGTGGCAACAGTTAAATTAGTTTATTATGCTTATTTTCACAACATTATGCATGGTCTTTTACTTTGGGGTTCCGAATCCGGTTTGAAAAACGTTTATTTGTATTGCAAAAAAAAAAATAAACGTTTCTTCTTCTTCTTCTTCTTCAAAGCAAGCGATACGAGGTGCCTAAGGCTTGGGTCCACATGAGTCAATACGGCATCTTTTTAACCAAATAAACGGTATATCTCTCCCGTCGCTGTAATGTTCGAAAACATCATGTATATACGTACAAATTTATCCATCATTTAAAAAATAATCGTTTTAAAAAATTAACATTATTATTACTAAAAAAAAAGGACTAACTGTACAGAAGGGCATAGTCCACCACGCGGCCCCACTGCGGATTGACGGACTTCACATTTTTTTTGTGATTGTCTTGAAAATATGCAGGTTTCCTCATGATATTTTCCTTCCCCCGCCGAGCACGTGATTAGTTAGCACTTAAAATTAACAATTTAATTGGTGCTGGCGCCGGGGATAGAACTCAGGTTGCTCGAGTAAATTGAATTAAAGGCGAACGCCTGGACACTGAGCTAAATAAAATAAATAAAATATGCTTTATTGTACACCAGTAGAAATAAAGGATTTATAACTAAAGACACATGGATACAACAGGCGGCCTTATCGCTAAAACAGCGATCTCTTCCAGGCAACCTTAGGGCAGAGGATTCATTAAAAGAAGAAAGCGGTAGGGTGTACTAAACAAATAATAAGAATAGTAAATACACAAAAAAAAATATTTATATATATATATATATATATATATATATATATATATATATATATATATATATATAAAAAGAAATACAGATATATGATGGACGACAGATAGTATATTAAGAGGATAGGTAATGACATTTTAATTTAGTTTTAAAAATGTGAAGAGATTTAGATTATTTAATATCTAAAGAAAGAGAATTCCAAAGACGTATAGCAGAAACCGTAAAATAATTAGCATAGAAGGAAGAGGAGTGACTAGGAGTACTTAGTAGAAAATTATTTAGCTATCACGGCTTATTATTATTACTAATTGAGACAAATACAAAACTTAGTATACGTATTCGAAGTTCGACAACTCTTGTTTCACGAAAATTTTACCAAACCTCTTTATGCCATTTATAATATGAGGATAATCTTGCAGTTATTTTTAAAATGTTTCCACTAGCTCTTGACTATGTACTCCGTATATTTACAACCTTGTATTTCGCAATATTTTAAAACAGGCTTACCAATGAATTCTTTGGGACTTCACAAGAAATCGTCGTCAAAGTGAATAATTGACAGCTAATATGTCTACCTCTTATTACCAGTGATGCTATATACACAATCACGCCGGAACTGAGGTAGTCAAATTACGCCAACTGGTGTAATTAGTTTGCAATGTATTCCTTCCCTCTTTACGCTTCAACGGCTCAACGATTTAAAATAAATTTGGAATGATATCTCCATTGGAGGAATCACCCACCGGAGCCTATGGGCATCGGAGTTTGCTTTGAGTTCAGAACAAAGAGTTGCAAACTAATACTCGCTTTCCGTATAATAATTAAGTTCTATGTCATCTGTCACATTCACTTACATGTGTCACTAGCTTTTCATCCGCGGCCTGATTGTACTTTTTATATCGTGCTTAAAAGCTTAAAAAGCTTACACCCTATAGCCTTCCTCAATAAATGAGCTATCTAACAGTGCAAGAACTTTTAAAATCGGACCGGCAGTCCCTGAGATTAGCGAGTTCAAATGATCAAACAGTACAGATATCGTATTGTTTTTGTCCGTCCCATCACTACTGTAAACACTTTCTAGTGCGGTTCAGGTCGATATCCCGCCGCTTTCCTTGGTTCCTGGCTCATTTCCTGTTTAGCAGATCGAACCTAAGGAAGTTGGATTCAAGGTCATTATAACAGTACAAAAAAAATTGTATACTTACATCGTTTTCGCAAAGTAATAGCATTTTAATCTACCCAGTGCTGCTGGGTGGTTTTTATAGATAACTTGCTGCTGCCCGCGACTACGTCTGCGTAGAGAGGTGAAAATTAGGGTTGTATGTATTTTCGTATTCTATATCATAAAAAAATAAAAACAAAAAATTTTATATAAAAAATAAAAAACATGGGGTGGAACCACCCTTATCATTTAGGGGGATGAAAAATAGATGTTGTCCGATTCTTCACCCTGGCGAGCTGTTTCGGAAGAGTTCAATTACAAACACCGTGACACGAGAATTTTATATATTAGATGTTACGGAACCCTTCCGACGAGATAGCGACTCGCACTTGGCCTTTTTCTTTTTCTTTTATTCAAAAAACATCCCTTAACGTAACATAACAGTATCCTGTATTGTAAGGAAGTGTTACATACATAAGTTTCACGTGGACAAACACGCAGATGTGAAAAAAAATTGTGGGTCACAGATAGTTGTCCCGTATGGGAATCGAACCCAAGACTCCCGACAGCGAAGCCACTATCTGAGCGACTGCACCACAGAGACACCAAGTCGTCTATTTCTCTTTTCTAAGATAGAAAATAGTATGGCATAAGACAAATATCACTAACTAGCTGCTGCCCGCGACTACGTCTGCGTAGAATAGGCCGAAGGCGTAACATTCAGACAGAAAGACAGATATACATAAAATATGTATATGAATTATATTCTGATGTGTAAGCTATATTATTGTAAAGTTTCATTAAAATCCATTCAGTAGTATTTACGTGAAAGAGTTACAAACATCCATCCATACATACAAACTTTCGCGTTTGTAATATTAGTAAGGATATGTTTGATTCTTTAAAACTAGTTTCGTTAAGTTGTATTAATTGAAACCGGTCGTAACATCCCGAGGTGCAGAGTGTTTTGGAGATTGCGTGTTCTCAAAAGGTCATTTCGTCATTTTCCTAAACGAATACCCATTTTTAATGACGTATTATCCTTATTAACGTTTGATTTCACGGCTGGCTTAGCCGCTATGCGTCGCTTGCATGGGTCCAGAGATCGATTTTAGCACCTGTAGATGGAAATTTACCCAGCAGTAGGTCGTCAACATTTTTTCTTATAAAACTTTATATATTTGTTGTTATAGCGGCAACAGAAATTCATTATCAGTGAAAATTTCAATTAACTATCACGGTTTATGAGATAAAGCCTGGTGACAGACGGACGGAAAGACAGACAGACAGCCGAGTCTTAGTAATAAGATCCCCTTTTACCCTTTTGGTACGGAACAACGTAACGTAAATAGCAGCTCAAAATAAATCTGAATTGAATAAATCAATTCTGTTCATTACTTTCCTTATTATGTTCTAGGTATTAAAATTATGCTATTAAGCAAAAAAAGCTTAATTAACAGCTCTTGTTGCACGAAAAGGCCAAGCAAGAGCGGGAAAGTACCACGTCACCACGCGGCAGGCTTGTCGTAAAATTGTTTTAACTTTTGTCTTTCCCCCGATAGTTGACGTGAGAAGACCACAGTCACAAGATTTTGCAACGCCTGCATCCCTATTTTGCCATCCCTTTCAAATCTTTATCTCTATACACAGAGTGGAGTGTCTGTTTATAATATTAAAATAACGACTTTTTACTAAATGCATATGGTTGTATTGATTATGTATACACGATACATATACCAAATTAACATTTTTTACAATATTATCGAAACACATTTTTATTACAAGTATTGATTCGTTAAAAAGGCGTAAAGCACAAGTGAACTCAATAGCTGTTTTGAGAGTGAAGGGAACGGAAATATTTGAACTCTTTACGTCACAAGATTTGACACAATATGTTGCGGTTGTCCATTGAAACATATTTTTAAAACTATTTTGCATAAGCGATTTCGTATGTGTAGATCAAAATCATCTATTCATCGATATAAAAAACGGCATATTTCATCAATCGATAGTCATTTTTTTAAATCTACCACCGTTTCCTTATTATGTTCCTCGTAACTCAAAGCGCTGTGGAAGAAAACCTGCTAACGCTATTTGGTGAAAGCTCAAGAGATGACGAGCAAACGTTTCTAGTATCGAGCCAACCATCTTTGAAACATTGTGCCTCTAGTGGACTCTTTTGACTCCGGTCCTCCTCGCGTTGCTTCAGCGGTTGTTACGACAGATTGACGCATCAGCAGAAGCTCCGTTAGAAAGACTTTTTTATATATAGAAGAATCTAGCATACACGTTGAAAATAATATTTATTAACAGTAGAAGGTTCAAATTCTCGGTGGCAGAGCCACGCAGCAACCTCGGCTGTTGCACGAATGGGCAGGCCCGTCCAGGTAAGTACCACGACCTCACAGAAGACCGGCGTAAAGTGGAAGTATAATACTTTCGCGTTTCGTCTGGTGAGTGAGGTGGCCGGAGCCCAATTTTCAAGAGGTTGTCAACCCATCTGGAACCCTCGGGTGTGGCAGATGTCCATGGGCGGCGGTCACTTAAATTCAAGTGAACCGTCTGCTCGCTTGGCAACTTTTCACTTAAAAAGAAAAAAAATCCAATCCGAACCTAACTTACGTTGTCGCTTAACAGATTGGAGCGATAGTGTCCCTTCTAGTCATTGCGCTGGCAGCGCCCACGTACGAGCAGAGCACGCCTCACTCGCCATGCCCCAACGTGTTCATGTACGAGCCCTCGGGCACCGAGCCCGGCAGGTGGTACGGGGTCGTCAACCTCTCAACGGACAGCACCCTCCACTCGCTCTGGCTGAACATCGTACTGGACGGCAAGGCGGACATACTTGGTGTGAGTCTGACTTACTTAAGCAACAGGTGGTACCGTACGAACCTTTTTATCTAATTTTTTATGTAAAATTAAAATACAAGCGTCTATTTAAATAAAGAATACATATTGATTGGACTTGATTTGATATCAATTATAATGGTGTTGGGGGTATCAGCGATCTTCGAGTTTGTCGCCGTAATTGCATCTAGACTTGCTCTAAAGTATGCTGTGCATGAGCTAGCTGATTCTTGATGAATAAGTATACATTATGACATCAACAATAAATAGCTTTGACTCACAACAGCTATCACTCTTACAATATGTAAAGAAAGGCATCACGTCATGACTACTCCGAGCTTATAATATAAATTTGAGAAAGTTAGGCACGGACAAAGTGAAAACTTATCACAATTTGTTATAGAAAATAATGATTCCAATTAATATTCAAGTCAACAATTAGTATTCAGTCGTGTAGAGATGTTAACATAACAACAACTGTGCTGTTATAAATTCTCTAACATTGTTTAATACCGACGTTTGGTATTAATTTTGACTGGTGTGCACACTAGCGGGAATGTTAAATAAAACCACACTGTGTACTGATCTAAGGCTCGATCTACCAATCTATTTTACTGGGTATCGGATGACAATATATGATTACAACTTTGTTCCGCCTTATGTACTATGCCCTATGTACAAACCATAGTGTGTTTTAATTTGATCGTAGCGACCTCCAGTGACAATAATACACACTCGATCCATAAACATTGACTTAATTGACTTAAGACTGAATTGTGAACATACCGCCAACCATGCCTTAGCGTAACTCATCAACATACCGCCCACCAAGGACATTACTGGCGGAATGTCCTTCTTACATTGAATTAAACATCATACATTTCAAGTTGCTCTTAAAATGTGAATAAACAACAATTACACTTATAGGTCGTGAGTTCAAACAAGCTTCAATTTGGCTAAGAAGCGTAGTTAGTTCCTCGTATGTGAGAGTGGAATCACCAATTACCCTTTTCAAGTGGAATTTGGTGGACTAACTGCGGCTTCCCATAGTCCGCCAAAGTTGGGACTATGTGGAGGAATGAAGTGCCATTCTGTGCCATTGGCTTCCAAGTGTTCAGCTATTGAAGGTTGAATAGATGTTGAAGTTTGCAACTCTTTGGCAGCACCTACGAAGGTAGTTCCATTGTCACTGTACAATTTGGCACAGTGACCTCGCCTCGCCACAAATCGTCTAAATGCAGACAAAAATGCTTGTGTGCTCATATCACTGACCACCTCTAAATGTAAAGCTCGAGTGGCCATACATACGAAGAGACATATGTAGCCCTTGTATGAACGATGCCCGCGTCCTTTTGTCGTTCTTATACTGATGGGACCCGCATAATCAACTCCGCTGTGCAAAAACGGTCGTGCTGGAGTGCACCTAACTGCAGGGAGTGAACCCATAATTTGCTTTTTTATGGAAGCTGTGACACGTTTGCATGTCTGACATTGCAAATACTATTCCAGTACGGACATCTTACCCAAATCTAAAACAAACAATGACAATAAACTTAGCGTAGCTCGATCCAACTCGGGCAGTTGCTAAAAACGACATCGTCCCTTCCAGAACTGGGTGGGCGACGTGACGACGACCGACAACGTGGACTTCAAGATCGAGAACACGAAGATGAAGATCCACCCGGGACCCGCGGTGGCGGTCCGCTTCTTCGTCCAGTACAACCCGCTGAAGACGCCGATACCGCGTCTGCAGACGATAAGGCTGAACGGCAGGGAGATCTGCAACGCGAACACGCCGCGGCCGGCCACTGGCACCGACACCGGCTCTTCGGGGACCCCGTCGCGGTCGGACTCGCAGAGCCGACCGCAGACCGACAGAACGGAGACCAACAACCGCGAACGGCCCATCACTACCAGACCGCTGGAGGGGAGGCCGCAGCGGCCGTCAATCCGACCGGAGGACACGCCGGTGTCGAAGCCCGTCTACGGCACCCCGGCCAACCCCGGCCCCGTGTACGTGCCGACGGAAAATCCACCGATAGACCAAATCAACGTCAACCCATACGTGATGTGAGTGTGACCTTGATTGACCTGCTCAGTACACTATTAATGCGTAAGTTTGAAAGTATGTCTGCTCACACAAAATCAAGTGATCAGACTTGATAGAAATTTCTTAATTATTTACACACTTTATGTTTCATTATCATACAACCACTTTTATTCACTTATTATATAGCGTGTCGTTACCATCGCGGCAATAAATGAACACACGTCTAACGCTACTTGCCAATAATCATAAGAAAATATTAACGATAAAAAAATCCACAATTAAAAAGCAATTATTTTCCAAACAAACTAATTAAGCAAAAAAGAAACAAAATTTGTAACATACTAGCACAACTACAACTGACTGATTCATACATTCAAAGACTTTTTCATTCGTTGCCCCAGCGTCGCATTACAAGCCTCTCCTTCTAACAGTATGTTTTGTCTCTTTTAAATTCATTCAATCCATTCATATGCTTTGTGACCTTTACAAATGAACTTTACGTTACAGTTTTATACGTAAGGTGTTCTAAAATTCTTTGTTTTGGAAAATTTAATAACTCTGTAAATTTTGATGTTTAAAGAATGTAAATGTTTAATACAATTTTAAAATTTTATCCTCTATATGTCTGTTCATTTACTGTCGCGATTGTAAAGACACGCTGTATAACTTGAAGACCTTGCTTTGGATAAAAGATATTTACATTTGTTTCCGTCTCAGCGTTAGACTTTAGAATTAAATATATTTAGTTTATTCCTCTGCCACCCTAACCTTCCCAGATGGAATAGTTTAAAGCAAATTATCTTGTATCTTGTATTAACTGATGTTTTTGCTTTCAGTCCCGAGACTATTAAAGCTTCATCTGACGCAGAACCGGTGGGCTAGCCAGAACCCACGGGTTTGGGCCCTCCGCTGTGGGTAGGGCCACGCATGTGCTCATGCGTGCGTTTAACTATGGTGTGTCATCTAAGGGCCATCGAGGTCGTGGTTCGGACCGAAACCTCGATGGCCGTCGACTGTGTAATTAGCTAATCGGTGGCTGGGGGCGGTGAGAACCGCCCCGGAACGCGGGTGTACCTTGTGTACGCGTTGTGTTGGTCTCGCCGTGCTCGGAGGCGAGGGCGAACTAGTGTGTTTGTTGTTGCACTAACTGTGGGTGTAGTGTTGTCCGGCGGGACCCCCGGCAGTGGGTCCGGCGTGTCTAAGTCCCCTTCCTCGACCGGGTCGATTAGGACGTTTCGCGGGCGACGCTTGTTGACGTTCGCGTTTTTGTCGGGTTGGTAATTTGCTGCGCTTACCACCAGAGGGTTGGGATGATGTTCGGCTCTATCGAAGAACCGTTTGGTCAGGTCTTTAAAATATTCGTGAATCGTCGGGAGTCTGCAATCGCTGTGCAGGTCGACGTTGCGTTGATACCACTGCGCACCGGTTGCGCGGCGGATGAACTTATTTTGTACTATTTGCAACTTGTACAAGCGAGTAGGGTGCGTGTGGGCGAAGGTCATGCATGCGTAAGACATAATAGGTCGTACGCAGGTCTTATATAATAATAATTTGTGCCTTAAGGGCATTTTACTTTTAACGTTAGTTAAATTGTGTAGCCGACCGGAGACGAACGCGGCTCTATTGCTAACGTTATTAATGTGCGTAGTAAATGACATACGCGAGTCGAAAGTGACTCCTAAGTATTTGACCTTTTTCTCCCAGGGGAGCGGTTGGCCATAAAGGGATATTTGCCCCAACTTTCTGCATTGACGAGGGCCATTGTAAAGATGTGACGGGTAAGTACTTCGTGTGAAGTGAATCGCCACACTCTTTTCGGGATTTATTTCTATTCTCCATTTGCGGAACCAATCGCCGAGGCGGTCGGCAGCGCTTTGGAGTCGAGTGGTTAGTTGTCTAAGGTTGCGGTCTGAATAAAAGAGCGCCGTGTCATCCGCGAAAAGCGCGAGATTGACGTGGGGGTCTTTAGGTATATCGCTCGTGTAGAGCGTAAAGAGCAAAGGTGAGAGGCAGGAGCCTTGTGGTACGCCGGCCGTGAGGCGGCGGCTTGTGGAGAGGGTGCTTTCAACTCGATATCGAAAAGAGCGGTCCGACAGGAAGGCCTGGATGGTGTGTACGAGCCTATCTGGCACTTTGAGTGTGTACAGCTTGTAAAGCAAGCCGTTGTGCCAGACCTTGTCGAATGCTTTTGCGACATCGAAGAAAAGAGCCCCTGTACTAATATGTTTAGGGTGATTTAGGCCTTTTAGGATATGTTCCGTTAGCCGGAATAGTTGATCGGGACAGGAATGTCTAGCTCGAAAGCCGAATTGTTCCGCCGGCAGAAGGCCGTTGGAAAACACGTGCTCATTGAGCCTGTTTAATAAAAGCCGCTCGTAGAGCTTCCCCAGGCAACTGAGGAGGCTGATGGGACGATAACTAGAGGGCTGGTTGGCTGGTTTATTAGGCTTGCGAATGCCGATAACCCTGGCTTCTTTCCAGTCGTCTGGAAAGGAGCAACTGGAGAGTAAAGTATTGTAAATGGTCGCCAGTAAACAGATAAGCGGCCCAGGGAGAGCTTTAAGAATTTTGTTACTAATATTATCTGGGCCCGGGGCGGATTTGGGTTTTAAGTTTTTAATAATATCTTGAACCTCTTCGGGGGTCACTGAATTCAAAGGATCGCCTTCCGGTGGAAGCGCAGCCCTAATCTCGATTACGCGGTCCACCTCCGTTAGGTGGGCTGTATCGATGTGTTCGCGCGATGGCGTACATTGCTGCTCTAGGTTGTCCGCAAGGCATTCGGCTTTTTCGGAGTCATCTAGGGCTACTGAAGCGCTATTAGGTCTAACTAACGGCGGTAGAGATTCGCGGGGGTCTGCTTTCAGACTGCGGACCAACCGCCAGTAGGCGGTGTGCGATGGCTCGATGTCCTCTAGGAGAGTGTCCCACGTTGTATGTCGGTGTTCCGATACACGATCTTTGACTTCTAGCTGAAGGCGTCGAAGTAGGGTTCGGTTCGATTCCGATCGGTATCGGTCGAAAGCGCGTTTGGCTGCATTTTTCTGCCTAATTAGGAGTCGCAGGTCGGGCGGAAAGTTAAACCGTCGATCGCCCGACAGTTTAACCGTCCGTTCTGAGTCTGCGACTGTGGAAGTGATGGTTTCTCGGAGACTTGCTATCGCTCGATTTGCGTCATCGAACGTAGCTATCGTCTCGGGTAGGTCGACTAAGTCCTGGGGGTCCAAGGCCTTGAGTTTGACCTCAAGACGATGCCAGTCCACTACGGATTTGGTCGGAGGGACCGCGCCGGCGTTCTGGCCCAGTTTACACAGGACGGGCCTGTGATCTGAGTCTAATTCATGGATTGTCTCTATCGACTCGATGTCGAGCGAGACCTCCTTGAGTAACATGATATCTAGGATACTCGGTGTCGCGTGTTGGTAGTTGTCGACCGTAGGATACCTAGTGGGAGTCGCAGGAGCAATTATGCTAAAGTTTAAATTATCGGATAAGCTAAAGAGATGCTTTCCGTTGTTATTTGGGATGCTGTGGATGTCCCATGAGCCGTGTTTGCAGTTTAGATCTCCTGCAATTATCACGGAAGGGCCTAAGTTGAGTAGCGTATCTAGGTCGCTTTGTAATAAGGTTTTGTTCCCCGAGAGGTAGGCTGAGACTAGTACAAGCGGCCTGTGGCCGGTGAGCGCTAACCTACACGCGGATGCCTCTAAATGGCTTAGCTCTGGAATGTCGAGCGGGCTACAGTGCAAGGACCGTTTGTAATAAATTAAGGTGCCTCCCAGACGGTTTGCTAACCGGTCGTGGCGGACTATGTTGTAGTTTGCGATTCTGGGATCGCGTACACTCGGTTTTAAGAATGTCTCTTGCACCAGAAAAATATCTATGTTATAATCGCGAAGGAATTCCGCGATTTCGTCCCTTTGACCCTTTATGCCGTTTGCGTTGAAATACGAAACAACCAGAGCCCGAGGTTTTGTTCTACCTGCGGTTGTACTTCCCATTAAAGTTTTTTATGAGTTCTAACTAACGACGCGGCGGAGCGCGGTTTTATTGCGCGGACTATTAAGTTTATGGTTGGCTTGTAAATGCCCAGAGGGCTTCTACAAGCATTTTATGTTCGCTAATGGCTTTAAATCGCGCGTTGCCAGATGTGGCGGCCGCTATTTTAGCGGACAATACGGCGAGTTCTTGTCTATTAATGCGGTCTAATAAGGCGCAGAGGTTGGCAATTTGGGCGAACGGATCGTCCTTGTTTTCGGCGAAAACCGACGGTGTCGACTGCACCTGCGGCGTCGGCGCCGTTTGATAGGCGGGCTGCGATTGAGCGATTGGTCGTGAGGCGACCGGGGGGCGCAACTACCTGCGTGGCCACCTGGGGTTTCGCCCAGGCGTTTACGACGGGTACGGGCGCGGGAACGTATTTCACGGGCGCGGGTTTGGGCAAAGTAGATTTCGCGGGAGCTTTTCTCGCGGGAGTTTTTTTGGGGCCTTAGCGCAGCCCCTGTAGCTAGCCGGGTGGCCGGTGGTATGACAGTTAACGCAGTCCGGTGGATCTGCGCAGTCTTTTGGCCGCGTACAATCGGGCGTGCCGTGGTCACCGGTGCATTTGACGCACCTAGGGTGAGCGAAACAATTATTAGCCGTGTGGCCATAGTGTTGGCAGTTGTGGCACTGCGCCACAACTCCCGATCTTCGCGGGGGCTCGATCACGAGGTCGCTGAGCCCACAGACCCTCTTCAGGTTGAAGATGGCCTTACCTTCCGGGGTAGGGTCAAGTTCAACCATCACCATGTCCATAGGGACACGGGTTCTGGGGTGTCTGAGGCGTCGGACGGCATGCACAGGGTATCCCTGAGTGCGGATGTCGGTTTTCGCCTTGTCGACATCCGACTCTTTGGGGACGCCCTTGATAACTACCCGAAGTTTGCGTTCTTCGGGCAAAGAGTAGGTGTGAAAACCTATCTTATTTTCGCGCAAGTATTTCGTTACGCGGCGGAAATCGTCCGTTGTGTCAAGGTATACGCGGATACCCATTTGTGTATTTTTCGACCGGGGGTCGCGGATATTGTGGCGTTCAAACCACGAAGAAATTTGGTGCCACTTAGCCTTCTCCTGAATGATGATGGGTGGAGGAGGCTTTATTTTTCGCTCGGAGGCGAATTCGGGCATCGGTTTAGCCGCCGCAGCCGCCTTTTTGGCGGGCGTCACGGTGGGTTGGTTAGTTGAAGCGGCCTCGCATTCGGGGTCGCTGTCGGCAGCGGGGCGTTTTTTGCCCTTCTTACGCGACTTTACGACGGTAAAGCCGTCGACGTTCGCGTTTTCAGCGGGGGTCGTTTCGACCTCCATGTCCGATCCGCCGTCCGAATGTGAGTCGGGAACGACGGCGCGGAAGGGGGCCGAGATGGGATGCGCGGAAGGCGCGATGGGTACGATCGCGGCGGCGGAGGTCGACGCGACGGGCTTTTCTTGTGTCGCTGAAGGCGACACATTAGCAGGCGCAGAGGGCGCCGGAGATGACGGCGAGGCGACTGCCGGTGGAGCCGGGCTGTCGCTGGCGAACTCGACGACTAAACATTTTTCTTTCGCGAACGCGAGAAAGTTTGCCCACACTTCGGGACATCGTTGGCGAAGGAATTCCTCTAGGAGGGAACCCATTTCGAGCGCTTGAGCCTTTGGGGCTTGCGCCCCGCCGGCGTGTAAGTTACTAAATAGGCCTCCCCACCTTGCGGCAGGGAATTGAGTGCCTAAAACTAACAACTAATCCGCCTGCGCTTTAGGTGCGCTAGGGTGGGTACCTAGCTGTCGCCTATCGCAACAAGCACACAGTTATTAAATAAAAACAATGCCGCCTCTGAGGCGAGAAGTGTGTATAGAATTCTACTTACAGAACAGGAACCTGCCTACGAGCACAACACTAACACTAAACTACTGCACTGCTTGCACAAAGATTTAAATTGCAACCGAAGTTGCGAGTAGCGTCTAATTCGGGTGGCATTAGCCCTCCGTCTTAGAGAGAGGTCCGTTCCGTACGAGAGCACGAAGCGGAATGAAGCAAATTATCTTTTATAGCTTACAGTAGACCACAAAGTTGGCTCCTCAAAATTATATTGAACGCGTTAAATTGTTGAATAAATCCATTTTAATTTAAACGCATAACAACTTCCTTGAAAAATTAGCATCGAATTTCGCATAAAATTTTGAACAATATATTATTCGATAAATAATTATTCGTTATTATAAATTCGGAAGTATAATACTAAAGTCTTTATTACGATTTGGAGGTTTCAAAGCAGACTTGATTCAAAATTACGCCCGTATAAAAGCTCAGTTTATAAATTACCGTTCTGCCTATATATCTTGTATTTGTATTAACTGATGTTTTTGCTTTCAGTCCCGAGACTATTAAAGCTTCATCGGACGCAGAACCGGTGGGCTAGCCAGAACCCACGGGTTTGGATCCTGCGCTATGGGTAGGGTCGCGCATGTGATCATGCGTGCGTTTAATTATGGTATGTCATCTAAGGGCCGTCGAGGTCGCGGTTCGGACCGAGGCCCCGACGGCCGTCGACTGTGCATTTAGCTAATCGGTGGCTGGGAGCGGTGAGAACCGCCCCGGAACGCGGGTGTACCTTGTGTACGCGTTGTGTGGGTCTCGCCGTGCTCGGAGGCGAGGGCGAACTGGTGTGATTGTTGTTACACTAACTGTGGGTGTAGTGTGTATCCGGCGGGACCCCCGGCGGTGGGTCCATCGTATCTAAGTCCTCTTCGTCGACCGGGTCGATGAGGATGTTTCGCGGGCGACGCTTGTTTACGTTCGCGTTTGTGTCCGGTTGGTATTTTGCTGCGCTCACCACCAGAGGGTTGGGATGATGCTGGACTCTATCGAAGAACCGTTTTGTCAAATCTTTAAAATGTGCGCGAATCGTCGGGAGTCTGCAATCGCTGTGCAGGTCGACGTTGCGCTGATACCACTGCGCACCGGTTGCGCGGCGGATAAACTTATTTTGTACTATTTGCAACTTGTACAAGCGAGTAGGGTGCGTGTGGGCGAAGATCAAGATGCATGCGTAGGACATAATAGGTCGTACGCAGGTCTTATATAATAATAATTTGTGCCTTAAGGGCATTTTACTTTTAGCATTAGTTAAATTGTGTAGCCGGCCGGAGACGAACGCGGCTCTATTACGAACGTATTAATGTGCGTAGTAAATGACATACGCGAGTCGAAAGTGACTCCTAAGTATTTGACCTTTTTCTCCCAGGGGAGCGGTTGGCCATAAAGGGATATTTGCCCCAACTTTCTGCATTGGCGAGAGCCATTATAAAGATGTGACGGGTAGGTACTTCGTGTGAAGTGAAGCTACACTCTTTTCGGGATTTATTTCTATTCTCCATTAGCGGAACCAATCGCCGAGGCGGTCGGCGGCGCTTTGGAGTCGAGTGGTTAGTATTCTAAGGTTACGGTCTGAATAAAAGAGCGCGGTGTCATCCGCGAAAAGTCTTTGGGTATGTCGCTCGTGTAGGGCGTAAAGAGCAAAGGTGAGAGGCAGAAGCCTTGTGGTACGCCGGCCGTGAGGCGGCGGCTTGTGGAGAGGGTGCCCTCGACTCGATATCGAAAAGAGCGATTCAACAAAAAGGCCCGGATGGTGTGTACGAGCTTATCTGGCACTTTGAGTGTGTACAGCCTGTAAAGCAAGCCGTTGTGCCAGACTTTGTCGAATGCTTTTGCGACATCGAAGAAGAGAGCCCCTGTGCTGATGTGTTTGGGGTGGTTTAGGCCTTTTAGGATGTGCTCCGTTAGGCGGTATAACTGGTCGGGACATGAGTGTCTAGCTCGAAAGCCGAATTGTTCCGTCGGCAGAAGGCCGTTGGAAAATACGTGCTCTTTGAGCCTGTTTAACAAGAGCCGCTCGTAGAGCTTCCCCAGGCAACTGAGGAGGCTGATGGGACGATAGCTAGAGGGCTGATTAGCTGGTTTATTCGGCTTGCGAATGCCGATAACCGTGGCTTGCTTCCAGTCGTCCGGAAAGGAGCAACTGGAGAGAAGAGTATTGAAAATGGTCGCCAGTAAACAGATAAGCGGCCCAGGGAGAGCTTTGAGAATCTTATTACTTATATTATCTGGGCCCGGGGCGGATTTTGGTTTTAAATTTTTAATAACATCTTGGACCTCTTCGGGGGTCACTGAATTTAAAGGTTCGCCTTCCGGTGGAAGCGCGCGCCCTAGTCTCGATTACGTGGTCCACCTCCGTTAGGTGGACTGAATCGGTGTGTTCGCGCGATGGCGTACATTGCTGCTCTAGGTTGTCCGCAAGGCATTCGGCTTTTTCGGAGTCATCTAGGGCTACTGAAGCGCTATTAGGTCTAACTAACGGCGGTAGAGATTCGCGGGGGTCTGCTTTCAGACTGCGGGCCAACCGCCAGTAGGCAGTGTGCGATGGCTCGATGTTCTCTAGGAGAGTGTCCCACGTTGTGTGTCGGTGTTCCGATACACGATCTTTGACTTCTAGCTGAAGGCGTCGAAGTAGGGTTCGGTTCGATTCCGATCGGTATCGGTCGAAGGCGCGTTTGGCTGCATTTTTCTGTCTTATTAGCAGTCTTAGGTCGGGCGGAAAGTTAAACCGTCGGTCGCCCGACAGTTTCACCGTCCGTTCCGAGTCTGTGACTGCGGAAGTAATAGTTTCTCGGAAACTCGCTATCGCTCGATTTGCGTCATCGAACGTAGCTATCGTCTCGGGTAAGTCCACTAAGTCCTGGGGGTCCAAGGCCTTGAGTTTGACCTCAAGACGATGCCAGTCCGCTACGGATTTGGTGGGAGGGACCGCGGCGGCGTTCTGGCCCAGTTTACACAGGACGGGCCTGTGGTCTGAGTCTAGTTCATGGTCTGCCTATATAGTATTTATATTAGGTTTTAATGTTATAAATGAATATTTTTATAATGTACCATTATAGTAATATTACAGTTTCTTTTTCTTATTATTTCCTTAGGAAAAATAACTCTTATGCCAACTGGTATCTAGATATCTACTGAGTCTTAATATGTATTCATATCACATATTGCATGAACTTAAATCCTCTTATATAAGTGATATATGTCTATTTCTGTCTCTTTCTTGACTTTTACAGCAGTATTGTCACCACTTTACGGATTTTATCGTGTGGTTTACAGCATCCTTTATCTCGGTAACGAATTTAATAAACTGTTAACGTTTAACGTTTAACTGTTAAGTTAACGAAGACTGCAACTTCCTATATTCTTATAATTTGGTGGGTCAAAACAAAATTAATCGCGATATAATCCGTAAAAAAGTCCCACGAGTGACTTTTCTAGCAACTAATCCACGTGGACTAACATTCCACCCCTTAACAGCGGTGATGGCCAAGTGCCAGCCCAGTCTGGCAACAGGCCAAGCAATGGCTATGGACTGACCACAGCGTCATATGGCACCACTACTACTGACAGCAGCGAAATCGATGATTTCGACAATGTCAGGTAAGTTCTCCCATCTTGCATCTGCATGATAGCCTCCATTTATTTTTACGCTTTAACTATTTCGCTCCGTTGGTCTTTTAAATGGTTAGCGCGTGTCTACAATCTCACCTGATAGTGCGCCGGCGATCCTATCGCTAGTGGTCAAACGTCCCGCTAAGAAAGTCCCACTGAGTTTCTTTCGCCGGTTCTTCTCAGGTCAGTGGCTTTTCTTTCCGAACCGGTGGTAGCGTTTTGACAATCAATAAGAAAGTGTAATGCTTCTATATTAAATAAAGGTATTTGGTTTTTGATTTTGATTTTGATACGCAGCTCAGTAAAAATTGATTATGTTAAAACAATATCATGGTAAAGAACATGAGGTTTAATTTTCATTCATCTTCTATTTGTCGCCTCTGCTGAAAACATCACTTACTAAATTCTACGTAGTAGAAGAAAAAAAACGAATTGTTGGGAGATATAATTCTGTGAGGCCTATAAATATAAAGCATGCCGAGGAGTTATTTTTGCTGTGCTTTTATATATGAGATTCCGTGATAAGAGGCAAATAATGTGTGCGCAGTTCCAAATTTAATCTTTTTTCTGTTTTAACAGGATGTTCCTAAAGCTGGTTTATATTTAAATGTCAATTGTTTAAATAAACTCTCTACTCAAAATATATTTCTAACTATCACGTTTTCATCACGAATCTTTTCACAGTAGTGGATATTTTTAGGGTTCCGTACCCAAAGGGTAGACCGGGAACCTATAACTAAGACTCCGCTGTCCGTCTGTCTGTCTGTCTCTGTCCGTCTGTCCGTCCGTCTGCCACCAGGCTGTTTCGTATGTATGAACTGTGATAGTTAGACAATTGAAACTTTCACAGAGGACGTCCTCCGTTGCCGTTATAACAACGAATACTAAAAAAACATTTAAATGGAGCTTCCAATATAACAGACATTTTTTTTTTTCCGTTTTTATAAGTACTGGTACGGAACCCGCAATCGGAAATTGCGCGAGGAATTCCACTTTATCCTAATTATCCCACAGGAAACCAGACCCGAGCGACTATTTCTCGGGTGGACTCCAAACCATCATCGTGCCCGGCTCCGGCGGCCAATCCAACAACAACAACAACAATAATTACAACAGCAACAACAATAACAACTATAACCAGAGGGTGAGTTTGGTGTCACGTAACTTTTAAATATGCCAATATAAAAAAGTATAATTACAATGAGAATTACGTTTTATGTGACAATACGTTACATTAAAGTCTATCCGGTATTGTTTTCAATTTTAAGTAATCCCACAGCTCACTGCCGCACCCAAAGACGTCTATTAGTATTCAATTAACATCATATACGTCTTTCGTGATTTTGAGATAAAATGAATAACTCTCTTTGACATATAAACGAAACCGCCAGAGACCGCAAAGGTCTTGACATTTAACGGAATATAAACAACAAATTAATGTTAATTGTGTTGCTTTGTTTTCGTTCTAACATTTCTTACGAAAACTGGATTCATTATTGCATTGTTGAGATTGATTAATGGAGAAGCAATGACTCAGTTCCTACCTTGCGGATCACCGTGAATACAAGAAGCATAGTTGCATTGTTAACTTGTTAACTGTCAAGTTTGGGAGAAAATAAGATGCTCGACAAGATCTCAATCGATTCATGAACTTTATTTTAATCGAGTGCCTTTTCCAACAAACAAACGGATTTGATTTGATTAAAAATAATCAGTTATTTAGGATCCAGCGGAATAAACACCGAAAATGTTAATCATTACATTCAACCAATGTCACCTCAACCTCCAATTGGACCCATTTAAGAATATATGATGAAAAATACGTGATACCTAACGAAACGAAAAAATAATAAAAAAGAGAAATGGTAATGAACCGGTTTAGCTTCTAATTTGTCTACTTGAAAAACAATAAAGATATCAATTACCTCTTCTAAATAAATAGAATGTTCTTAGAACGTTTTTTACCATTTTCGAAATTGTACATCATTTTTTTATGTTAAAAATTGCCAAGCGAGCAGGTGGTTCACCTGATGTTAAGTGAATACCGCCGCCCATGCACATCTGCTACACCCGAAGGTTGCAGATGCGTTGACAACCTTATGAAAATTGGGCTCCGGCCACCTCACTCACCAAACGAAACGCGAAAGTATTGTACTTCCACTTTACGCCGGTCTTCTGTGAGGTCGTGGTACTTACCCGGATGGGCCTGCCCATTCGTGCAACAGCCGATGCTGCTGCGTGGCCCTACCACCTATAATCTTTTTATGAGAGTAAAATGATTACCATGGACGGGCTAACCGACAACCAAAAAATTTAAATTGTTTATAGTGCTAATCTTTGCACTTAAGATTGAACATTAAAATATGTAGAAATAATTCTACATATTTTAATGTTCAATTTATTTCTACATATAAATTAATTTCATAGTAAATTTATTTCTACATATTTTAATGTTCAATCTTAAGTGCAAAGATTAGCACTATAAACAATTTAAATTTCTTAAAAAGCAATGGCGACATCTCTCGTTCGAATTATCGTTGTAAAACGATATTCGAAGTTGTTTGTATGCTGAAAAGGATATAACAATAGATGGCGCCAAGCATTGCTTCAAATGCTAACAAAACAATGTAGAAGAATGCGTTAAGATTTTCGTCGGTGTGGTAATCAGCCGTTTAGCTCAGTGGCTAGAGCGTCAGGCCGCGAATGCCGAAGACGTGGGTTCGATTCCCACAGCGGCGACAATCTTTTCGCACTTTTTCTACATATTTTAACGACAACCAAAGTTTTTTTTGTTATCATTTCGAAAATATGCAGGTTTCCTCAGGATGTTTTCCTTCACTGCCGTGCAAGTGAAAAGTCAGCACTTAAAATTAACAATTTCATTGGTGCCGGCACCGGGGATCGAACTCAGGTTGCCCGAGTATGTTGAATTAAAGGCGAGCGCACAGATCTATTTAATTTCACTAGTATAAAACAGAGTCGTCCCGCTGTCTGTTTGGCTCTATGTATGCTTAGATCTTAAAAATCGCAACGGTTCTTGATGCGGTTTTCTTTACTAGAGTTGTTCAAGAGGAAGGTTTATATGTATAATACGTTACACCCGTGCAAAGCCGGGGCGGGTCGCTAGTTGTTTATAAAATAAAACACTAAACAAAGATCTCATTCGAAGTGTTCAACGAACGAGATAATAATATATAATAAATACACATGCGGCGACAATTACGTTATTTATTACCGTAGCCGCGCGTTAATAATGTATGGCAAAAAAGTAACGTGCGTTTCAAAACACGCGGGGACCGGTAAAGCCCCAACGTCGAAACTATCGACGTTACAGCTGGATCCGGTTTGCGTTCTGCGTATTTGTGACGTCATAATATAACTACATTCCTCGATAACCAGTGGATATTTTAAACGAAATATATGACAGCTTTCCAAGCTAGTTCTTTACCACCCAGCTGGTCAGCGTTTTTCATCAGTCGAGGCAGCTGTAGCAATCGGTACGAAACGGTGATGGTAAGCGGTGTAATGTTTAAAATTTCGGTTCCTTATGTCGTCGGGTGTTTGGGAGTTTAGCAAAAAAAAACAGTCAGACACAGATGTTAGGTGCGAGGAAATTATGTATTGTAAATCCAATACCTCACTATTTTCTATAAATTTATTAAAACTTTCATCAGACGTTATTATGGAATAATCATCTGATTATCTGTATTCATCTGATCATCTGATCATCTGAAGTCAAGTTTAATCGACTGACTAGTTTCGTACCTATCGGACGTCCTTCAACAGAGCGCGTAAACTTTTTTAAATATTTATAGGCCTACCCTTTGCACTTAAGAAATATTAAAATTTTAGGAAAAAAGGACGAAAAGTTTTTCGTTGCTGTGATAATCGAACCCACGTCAATTGGCATTTCAAGAATGCTTAAAATACGTGAACACAATGACGTTGAGATTTTCGTCGATGTGGCAATCACCCGTTTAGCTTGGTGGTTAACGCGTTTCAACGCGATTCCGGAAAGCGTGGGTTCGATTCCGGCAGCGGCGAAAAATTTTCCCTCCATTTTTCTACAAATTTTAATGTCCACATTAATAGAAATTGGTAAAGAACGTAAAGTTTTGGTATTGAATATGTTCATGATATGCATTAATCCCATTGTTTCCAGAGTCAGTGCGGTAAGGTGGTGATAAACAAGCCCAACCCGCTGGTGGTGAATGGCAAGCCGACTTTGGAGGGACAGTGGCCGTGGCAGATAGCTCTATATCAGACCCAAGTGAGTAACACCTTTTTTTATGTGAAAAGTTGCCAAGCGAGCCCTGATGTTAAGTGAATATATACCGCCGCCCATAGACATCTGCTACACTTGAGGGTTGCAGACGCGTCGACAACCTTTGGAAAATTGGGCTCCGGCCACCTCACTCACCAGACGAAACGCGAAAGTATTATACTTCCACTTTACGCCAGTCTTCTGTGAGGTCGTGGTACTTACCCGGACGGGCCTGCCCATTCGCGCAACATGTGTTGCGTGGCCCTACCACCGTATACCTGCAAACTTTTCCATTTTTGCAGAACCTGTAACTGAATAAACATACCATTTTCACAAGGACTGAAAACAATACCCGATGAAAATAAATATTTCAGCAAGAACTATTATAGATTAGCTTTATAATTACGAGCTTAGCTTAATAACATAACACAGCGTTATATAATTAAGCCAAGCTTATACGTCGGGAAATAATACAAGGGCATATAATCCGTAATTCGCAATTAAGTGACATTAACAATAAACAACTATGTAACTGAGAAACATTCCTTTTGATATAAATACGAATTACAGATATATAAATATGTAATATAATGTAATAAATAAATACTGTCGACAGAAAGAGCTTTCTCCAAGATTATAAGATTATCGACGACCCGAATGGCGTAGTGGGTAGTGTAACTGCCTCCTGCGCCAGAGGGTGTGGGTTCAATCCCCACTACTGGAAAAATATTGTGTCATGAACATAGTGTTTTCTAACATACCCAGATGTTAGAAAACACTATGTTCGCATAATATGTATTTATTTACAAAAGAAAATTATATATAAGTATGTTTATCAGTTATCTAGTACCCATAGTACAAGCGTTGCTTAGTTTGGTACTAGAGAACGTTGTGCAAAATGTGTCCTAAATATTTATTTTATATATCGCGACTGCAACGCCGTCTTCTACACCAAACGCCGGCTAAAAACTGACTCTCTAAAGTTTAAATCAACACAAAGTACATGTTATAAACTGGAATTCACGATACATTATTACGCTTTTCAGACAGTGGACAGCAAGTACATATGCGGAGGCACTCTGTTGACCCACTTGCACGTGATAACTGCCGCTCACTGCGTCACCCGCAAGGGCTCCAGTAGGGTCGTCAACAAGAACACGCTCACCGTCTACTTGGGCAAGCACAACCTCAGGACCTCCGTTAAGGGAGTGCAGATCCGACTGGTGAGTGGTACAATGCATACGTAATATCTTCTTATCCTTTAAACGAGCAATTCTTGTATATATATACATATATTATCGGAATCTCGGAAACGGCTCCAGCGATTTTCATGAAATCTAGTATATGCGCAGATTCGGGAGCGAAAAATCGATCTAGCTTGGTTTCATTTTTAAAAAAATGTCCCTCTATCCCTGTTTTGAGGGAATGAAAAATATATCATTCGAATATGACAGTAAATTTCGCCGCAAAAAGAAATGTTATAATAGCTCGGTCGGTAATCGGGCGCCCCCAAAACAGACGGCCGCGGTTCGTATCGTGATCATTTACACACTTATTTTTTTTACTTTTTTTCTATACCATATTTACATTCATATTTTTGTATATAACTACAACAACATCAGACTATCGCCGTCTACTGCTGAACGTAAGCCTCTCCCAAAGTGCGCCAACTATAGTCCAGTCCTAGACAGCCCGCATCCATCCGCTGCCTACCACCTTTCTTAAGTCGTCAGCCCACCGTGCTGCAGGCCATCCCACACTAAACGTAGTGTGGGATGGCCTGCAGCACGATTAAGCAAACGTGCTTAATCGTGGTGTCCACATGAATAATGTATACAATCCATACTAATATTATAAATGTGAAAGCAGTTCTATCTGTCTGTCTCGCTTTCACGAAAAAACTACGGAACCGATTTAAATGCAATTTCGTACACAGATAGTCTAGAGCCTGAGAAAGGGCATAGACTATTTTTAATTGGAAAAGGGGTTCTTAAAGGGGATTTATTTAAAGGGATTCAACGCGAGCGAAGCCGCGGGCGAAAAGCTAATAGAATATATGTATAATAAGAGAAATATAGACAAATGAATCTAGAAAAGCTTATCTTGACACACAAAATCTCAAAGCATTTTATCATCTTTATTTTTTTATTACATTTTAAGCAATGTTTTGGTTTCATCTAGTGTTTCCTTTACAGTATTAAAAAGTAAGAGCTAAAGTTTTTTATAGTGCTATTCCTTGCATTTCTGATGAAATTTCAAAATTTGTAGAAAAATGGACAAAATGTTATTCGCCAAAAAATGTTTCATGTTAAGTGCAGGGAATAGCAATATAAATTACTAAACATATGACCATGTCATTGCAATATAAAATAGCAATGAAATAATTTCCTAAAACCCTCATGATGTTTTGCGTATACGTCACGTCACGCTGGGTTCGAAGAGTTTTGTACAGAGCGCACAAGAAATAAGTTCTTTACACGGTCTCACTGTGGAAGACACATATCTTTAAGATATTAGTGTTTACTATTTTTTAAACTGTAGATATCCACAATCCCAGGGAATATATAAAACCAGCACTAAAATTACAATAAATTATATATACAGGAACACATAATAAAGTAGTATTAGATGTGTAAGAGAGTACGCAACAGTTGTCCTTAGTCACCTCTGAAGAAATATGTTTGTATGAAAGAAACCTTATGTAAAAATTTTGATGTATCTATACAGCGATGGTAACGACACGCTGTATATCAACTATTAAGGTTCAGGTCTGCTCCAAATCTTTAATAATATTTATTACCACTAACTGGACCTTAACCTCAATGCATACCCGCGTTAAATAGAAAACCGTTAAATAGAAAAACCTTTGCGTTTTTAACATTCTAAAGCCCACCCTTTTAATGGTCGGGAACGAACCTGCGTCATCGTTGCAGAAGTCCACGGAAGGCGATGATCGCTTGTCATGTGACACGCTCTGAACTATTTTTATGCATACAGGTGGAGGATATAACGGTCCACCCGCAGTACAACGCCTCCTCGTTCAGCAAGGACCTGGCCATCCTGAAGCTTATCGAGCCCGTACAGTACACAGACTACGTCCGCCCCATATGCCTTTGGCCGGACAACCAGGCCGAACTCAACAACGTTATAGGAAAGAAAGGCTCTGTGAGTATCCCTTTTACTTATATGCGGATTAGTTCTTTTTTGTGAGAAGGTGGCACGAGAGCTGACGGCTCTTCTGATACTAAATGTACCTTAGGGTTGCAGATGCCTTGCTAGCTTCTAGTAGTGGGCTCCGGTTATCTCACTCACCAGACGCAACGCAAAATTATAACACTTCCACTTTACACCGGTCTTCTGTGAGGTCATGGTAATCCCGGACGGACTTGCCCATCCATGCAACAGCGAAGCCTTTTATATGACCCTACCATAATCAGTATGATGATGTCTATTATTTTAACAATTTTACGCATTTGTATGATTTCAATGTTGTTTTAACTAATAACGTAATTACTTGACTATGATTTCAATGTTGTTTTAATTAATGTCGTAATTACTTGACTAAATCGAATCGAATTATCCGGTCCGCAGGACCAGTAAAATTACTTCGGATCCCGGAGGAATCGTTAGAAAAACATCCGGCCATTTGTAAAAATATCGGTGGGAAATTGTTTGCTATCAATTAAGGGGCTTAATTAATTGGCTGAACGGATACTGCAGACTTGATAGGTTTATTTTGCGGCCGATTGAAGTGGGCCCACTGTTTGCTTAGGGTATAAAGCAATATGCCGGCCTGTAAATACAAAAAAGTTATAATATAATATTGTGTTCGCTTCACATTACTATATTAAGCATCAATGCCGTTCTTTTTGTCTTATTCTTCATCGACATAAATCATAAGTGTTTCTACCTATTTCTTAGTGTCCGGGTTTTTTTTTTTTTTTTTATGTGAAAAGTTGTCAAACGAGCAGACGGTTCACCTGATGTTAAGTGAATACCGCCGCCCATGGACATCTGCCACACCCGAGGGTTACAGATGCGTTGACAACCTTTTCAAAATTGGGCTCCGGCTACCTCACTCACCAGACGAAACGCGAAAGTATTTGTCATACTTCCACTTTACGCTGGTCTTCTGTGAGGTCGTGGTACTTACCCGGACGGGCCTGCCCATTCGTGCAACAGCCGAGGCTGCTGCGTGGCCCTACCACCGTAAAAATGCGGTGCTCGCTTTTAATTCAAAACTTGTTTTCAATTCCCGGTGACGGCACAATGAAATTGTTAGTTACAATTTTAACGCGAGGTTTCTGAAACACTGATCATTCTGATCATTAAAATAATTCTGGTCAATTCAATGAGTTTAACCATCCTTTTGGCAACTTAAATGACATTTGAAAAGCCATTTGACAGCTGATTACTACATCACGATGATCAGTGTTTCAGAAACCGGGCGTAAGTGTTGACTTATCCGCAGAGGTCATAATAAATTATGAACATGGAAGGGGTACACGATATCGCGGCATTAAGGTTCGAACCCTGGCGCCAATAAAATCCGTCTTTCCAGGTGGTCGGCTGGGGTTTCGACGAGACGGGCGTGGCGACGGAAGAGCTAACGCTGGTGGAGATGCCCGTAGTAGACCAGGAGACCTGCATCAGGTCGTACAGCGACTTCTTCGCGAGGTTCACGTCGCAGTACACGTTCTGCGCCGGCTATAGAGACGGTATGTTTTTCTGTTTATAAAGAGAAGACTGCTAACAAACTATTGGTTTACCTGCGCAGGTAAAATTCAACGAGTCGGTAAAGGGGTTCTGCACCTAATGACTAAGTCTCTCTTGTAAGTCAGAGACCCTACCCGATAAGACCGGCGTTTTCATGACATCTGAAAACACACGGTCGGTGTAAATTTTCACTTTTCTCTGGTAGTACGGTAGTACAGTCCTCTCAATTCTTCGGAAATCATCCAAAAGTAAATTTGATTACTACTCCTTAACCTTTAAGAAACGACCACGACACTAGAAGAGGAACCATTTGTGGATTTCGCATCACGATTTTTTTCATCGAACCCGGAAGCTGGCGCATAACAGCAGTTAACGAGCCGACCACTCAAACCAATGCGCTACAGTCGTTCATTAAAGTTCATTTATATTCCATGTTTAAAAAACAGTTTCTAATCAACATTCGACCTTCAAGAGGCAGTTTTAGAATCCCGACATAACCGGTTTCTTCGACGCTATCCGGGTGATTTATTTCTCAATAGTTTTTTGTTGCAAAATTTTCAAATTAAGCTTGTGTAAATACCGATTTCATTTGCAATATATAGTTTACAATCTGTGGCATTTCAAAGTGGTCTATGGTCTCTTTTCGAACGCTTTTTTATTATAAACGCTTCATTCATTACAGGGACCCTCGATAAACGAACTGGATTCAGAAAAAGTAGGTCTTTTCAAATGAATTCGCGAAAACTAACAACCTAACTCAGGCTTTCTAATTTAATTATTTTAGGGCACGTGGACATTTTAAAAATAGTACTACTCTATCTAATTTATTGCAAATATCATTTTTTTTCACTTTCAATAACACTGAGCTAAAAAATTCCTTCTTGCTTTCTTTTTATTTTTCTATTTTAATTCTTGCTTCTTCAGAAAGCTTACTTTAAGGCATTTATCACAATGAAGAGGAAATAAAGGTAAACGTATAGTCTTTATACTGCATCAATAGATTGTAATTTCTTCCCCAACAAGTTGGTATTTCAGTATACGGCATGGCGTGAACAATAAATGAACACATATCTAACGTTAAAAAAATCCATTTTCAAACAAACTAATTAAATTAAATAGAAACAAAATTTGAAACATCCTATACAACTACGAATTAAAAAGTCCCTGAATGTATGAATCAGTCAGTCTTCATATATTCAGGGACTTTTTAATTCGTTGCCACAACGTCGCATTACAAGTCTCTCCTGACAGTATGTTTTATCTCTTTTATATTCATTCAACTAATTCATATGCTTTGTTACCTTTACAAATGAACTTTACGTTACAGTTTTATACTTACGAATGTTCTAAAATTATTTGTTTTAGAAAATTTTATAACTCGATAAATATTGACGTTTAAAGAAAGTAAATGTTTAGTACAATTTTAAAAAGTTATACTCTATGTGTGTGTTGATTTATGGTCGCGTTAGTAGCGCCACGTTGTATGTTAAAATTACAGTTAAGTATATTAAAATGTCATAAATTTGACCTTCTATGAGGCCGTGGTACTTCCCCGGACGAATATGCCCATTCGTGCAACAGATACTTTTATCTACAACACTTAAGACTGGTACCGCTTGCTTTTTGTCCCCCATAAAAGATTGGTTTTCCGATTCAGCTGAATAAATAAACTTATGTGTTGTAGGCACATCGGTGTGCAACGGAGACAGCGGGGGCGGTATGGTGTTCGAAATGAACGATGCTTGGTACCTCAGGGGGCTCGTGTCACTCTCCGTTGCCAGACAGAATGAGTACAGATGCGACCCCACTCACTACGTAGTCTTCACCGACCTCGCAAAGTTCTTGCCGTGGATACGTCAGAACATAAACAATTATTAGTTTTATAACTAACTTCGAAACCGCGAATCGATTCATTCGATTTAGGTGTCGCCAACATTCCATTCCGACGTTAAGTTACAGTTAAAACTACACGTCATTAAATAACAAAATTCCACAGACAATAAAACTTCTTATTCTGATATGTTCATAGTCTCAATGCGAATGTACCTGTTTATTTTTACTCATTTATAAATATCTTAAGATGGGTAATATATTGAAATACGCATATTTTTAGTATTAATTACTCATCATGAAATTTACCTACTAATGAAATTTATTAAGCCTACTTGTTCAATCTCTATCTTATCTTCAGTTTTAAAATATTTAAACTTCATTTTTAAAGACACTTTAGAGCTCTTATTTTCGTACATAAAGACCTTACTTAAAACTCTTCTCTTGAACATGATCGCGAAATATAGTTTAACTAGAGAAATAAAAAAAACACTAAATTCTTGTACCAATAAACCAGGCTAACATTTACTAATGATTCTGGTGGTCCCTGAGCTATATTTCGATATATTTTTTTCTGACCGGGCTATAAATATGTTGATTTTGGTACTATGCCAGCAACAAAAAATGTTTATAAGAATTTATAAGTACTCTGTCGTATTAAAACAACGAAAACTAAAAATGACAATGAAATTGGACGTGTACTTAAATTGCTTATTTGGTAAGGATTTATGTAATTTTTGTTTTATTGTTACGAGGACTTGATTGAAATGTTTTAACTAGCACGTATTTATAATTCATAGCGTTTTGCATGGACACATTGATGTCTTTTTAAAAATATTCTTGATACATAAAACAGGTATATCCTAACATTACGGAGATTTAAAACAAATAATGTTCGAATGATAATATCACGTTCGAAAAACCAATAAATTATAGCTCTCTACTTTTGAATTTGTTTAATCTTTTATAATATAAAATAGAGGATTTTACTATATTTGACTGATTAATGTTTTTTGAAACGACGCATTTTTTTTCTTGTAAACATAATAAAATTCTTTCTATAAAATGGTTTTCATTAATTTCTTATAGTTGTTGTTTCTGTAGAAATATATTAGTTACAAAAATATCCAAATGGCATGTGTATTGTATGAAATGGAATATTATAATAAATTTCACATCATCATAGTATACCATGATTTTACAAAATTGTAATGGTGTACTTGAACATTATTTCAAAAAGATAGTAAGTAACAAGGTAGGTATGAGATAATTTGTTTCTGGTAGATGACAGTCGTCCCTTAAATCGAAACCTGTCAAAAGTGTGACAATCTAACGCCATTTAGATTGATTAACTTTACAGGATATATTTTGAGTTTAATGAAAAGCCTCAATAATAATGATTGCTGCCTTAAGTAAGTAATATTTAAATAATAACAATCTTCGTTTAATAATAAATACCCAGGTAGGAAAATAAAACTAGTTTATGGATTACATCGCGTTTAATTTTAAATATAAATGGTCGTGTGAACCCGTATGTTGTAACGTTCGGAACTTGGGGAATTTTGATATTATTTAACCAAGTATAATATGTACCAGAAAAAATTAGGCGCCGGGAAATAAAAAAAAAATAACGTACACAGTTTCTCACCTCTATAATAAAGAAAGATAAAATAACAAGACGAGTGCATCACGATGTTTTTGATGGAGCAATGTTACCTAAACACTAATAAATAAAAAAAAAAAAAAAAAAACAAATTACACTTTTCGGCCGGGATGAAAACATAAAAGCCTTTGCTGATCCCTATCAAGTATAGTCTGTGAAAACCTGTAATGCAACCTACTACTTCTATGCTGCGACAAACACTCGGTATTTATTCACTCGACTATATTTTTTATTATTTATCTATAACAATGGTCGTGGTTGACTTGAACAAACTACATCGATTCTTGGGCTAGTGGGTGAGTTTGGAAGAGCGTGTCTCCTGAAACGTTTCCACGCTTTTTGGTACGTAATGATTTGCATTCAACGCATTCCCATAAAGCGCCAGACCCTTCAACGAGTGTGAAACCACTGCACCGTAGCCTACACTAACAATGCAGTTATATCTATCATAAACTCTGTTTTACGGGCTTTTTATATTTAATAATATAACAGCGCACATTACATCACACAAATATAAAAAAAAATGGATGAATACAATCGTTCCAAGGGTTATAATCGTCAAACACAAACTTATGTGACAATTATATGCAGCTCTGAAAATCACATTTCCCTATACGGACCCCAATAATTAAGTATCCCCTCCCTAACGGGTAAGCATAGCCTGTATGTACACTTTATAAGTTATATATACCGTACAATATTATCTTCCTGTACAAGAAATATCAACACAAATTTGACAGATGTCATATAACTGTCACACGTAAAATAAAAATAAACTAAACCACTTCTAATAAAGAAATAATGTACAGCAGAAAATTAAAAAATAAAATTGACACTAGGCCTCATATCGGGAACCCCTTTACAAACGTTTCGAGGTTTACTCGACTCCGTTTGATCTATGGTGAATTTCATCGGATATTTATTAGACAACCAGATCTGGTATAGTCGAAGTAACTATTTAAGCTATTTTAGCTTTTCATTTATTTCAAATAACTGTTATCAAAAGCGATAAATTCTCACAAATCGCCACAGACTAAAACGCCATCAGACACATAGAGAATTAGTGTATTCACTACGATCTCATTTAGTGAAGTCATCCGGTTCATGAACCTATAGGATATGCATTAGCACTACTAAAGTTTTCTATAAATATATCCCACATCGAAAATAGGTCCATTATCTTATTTCGGTCTGCCGATGCCGGGTCTGTCTTTGTCGTACCCAAACAATCAGCATATAATGAAGTAGATCCAGACTTGAAAACAAATACCGAACATCGATGGCCCGTAGGTAATATTCTTCCTGTTTAAAATAACAAGACCCTACCAACCTCAGATCCTACCCAAGCGCAGAATAATCAACCTCGTGGGTTCTAGCGTGAGTTCTAAGTTCAATGAAGGTTTTATATTCTACGGACTGAAAGCAATAACATCAGCTAAAGTAAAGTAAGGCTCTTTTAAAAGTTAGACAATTTCATCGACAGAGCACTGACTTTACTTTATAGAAATGCCGGACCATACGTGATATGTATAACGAGATACTTTATACAAGGTGATCTAACTTTAAACGAACACAAAAAATGGACCTCTTCGACATACAATGACTGCGACTACATTGAAACTGGACGAGAAATATTTAATCAGTACTCAAGTGGTACTAAAAAATTATGAAAATTTCAAGAGAAAACCATTCCGACCGACAAGCATTGCATTAACGCGCACTTATTTAATATGCAAGTAAGACGACGACTTGGGCAAGCCTTCGATTCCTCTCGTTGAAAAACGTCGAACAGTGCCGACGCCCCGTCGCCGGAACGAAGCGAGGACACGTCATCGATGACGTCACCGGGGCAGAACGCCGGTCGCGTAAACGTTCGGCACTATTCGCGTCCGCTCGCCCACAACACGGGCAGGGGTCCCGCAGGGCACATTTATAGGCACTATTATATTAATACACAAGGCGATCGCAGGCCCCTTCGCTACCAGTATGGGCCGGTGCCGTTCCGACACCTCTGGCCCTTAAACCGCTCGTCGGGGTAGGCGGGGGCCCAGGGGAGGTTCCGCGCCCTCTGGGGCCGCGGGTTGCCCTTGTTGGGCGCGTAGTTGGGGTAGGCGGGGTTGAGGCAAGCGCCGGGCCTGCACCCGTTCCTCGGCGTACCCGGGTGGCTGCCCCCCAGCTGGGGGCTGGGCATGTTGTCCCACGGCTCCGGGACAACGCAGCCGCCGCAGCCCCACGAGAAGTCACCTGCGTGATTGAGGCGCTTGTGAAATTTTCACTTATTTATGTTGTAAACCTAGTCTTAGTCATTGCATTCCTTTTTAAATAGAAAAAAAATTTGAATTAATCATCAAATAATACGGACCTTACTCTAAAGTAATCATGCAAATCGCACAAAAACAATATTGTTATCAATATATTATATGATATTATTAAAATAATTACGTATATTATACTAAATAATTATATCACTATTGAGTATCATAATAAGTTATTTCAATTTAATAGGAATCACATAAGATTTTACTTTTCAGTTCTGAATAAATTTAAGCGATAATCTAAGAACATTTAAAACCTCTTACCCATATTTCCAATAGGATTGCAAGAACATGAGTTATGTCATCATTATATTAAGTTAAACAAATTAGCAGAAGATCAACGAGGAAATGAATGGTACAATGTTCAATAATATTTATTTTTATTTATTAGACTACTTTTTGGCCAGAACTTCATAAATATCATACGCGACACTGAGCAGATATTCAACGCAAAACAACAGTTTAATCGAGTTAAAATTCGAAATAACTAGATCGATATCACAGTGTCGCATCTGATTAACAACAGATATCCGAAATCGATATTCTATCGATAAAAATACTTCGATGAGGGATTCCTCTAACATATATCCGACAAGAGTGAGGCGGGCTGATGTTCTATATGTAAAATTTCAACAATTTAGAGATACAGAATATCTATAGCGTAATAGAGAACAAAAATAAATGAAACGACACATTTCACATTGCCTTAATGTTACAAAACTAACTATACTTAACAGAATTTCGTAATAGTTATCAAAATGTTATGAGGAAAAAAAATATTATATTTTATTTAAGAAATTTTCATTACGCAGTGACAACATGAATGTTGTCACTGCGTAATTTACATTTTCTTTTAAAAATGGCCAACTCTAGACATATAAAAGAGTTGCTCAATGCAACTTCAATGTTGAAAGAAATATTATCACTTTTGATTGGTTGTTTTTTTTTTCTTTTTCTAAGTAGTTACACGAAAAGTTTTGAATTGTAAAACATTAATTATGTTAAACTTTTTTGTCTTTGTTGTGCTAAATACTAAAAAATATGTAACTCTATGATAACAGGCATAAAGTTTATAATAATTTGCGTGTCCCGTTATAAAATACAGTCTACGGCTTTAACAGAAGTAAATATCAGCGATCGATATTAGAAAAAATAATTGAAACTCTGAATAGGTAATTGTAATCTGAGATAACAGTATCAAATCAGTTATTCCTTAATCTCAATTCAAATCAAATCGTTAAAGCTTCTATAGAACCGATTGTACACACTTTTAGTTTATTTTTAATCCTCAGTTAGGCACAATTCACACGTTGAAACTAGATCTAGCATACTAGTCTTGTGACCGTGTTCAGTGGATGTGCCCACTCAAATTTCAACCATGACGCAAAGCAACAGAGATAATGTTTCTTTAGCACCCGATGTAACGCATCTTCGGGCAAACCCACTGAACTGTCCTTATAAATCTCTACACTGTCAATAGTCAATATTATTATGTAAATATATTTAACTAACCTAAGAGGGTGGGAGGCTGCTACGGGTGCCGGGATGTGTGGCATTTGTTTGATTTCAATTCTCTTTTGTTTCCGTCCCTAGATTAGAGAATTTCTTTATGATGTAAAGGCAATTTAATTATTTCTTATAAAAATTCTATGTTTATTAGGGAAGAAGAATTAGGATTAAACTAGCAACCACACGGGGACCGAAGTTTTTCGTTGTTTCAGCTTGAACAATAGTATAAAATAGAACGTCATTAACCCCATTAGCTTCTGTCACTAAGGAAATATCGAACGAAAGTAGATTCTAGGAATCGTTACGAATCTGCAAAGAATAGGCCCCCCTTTTCCCAATCGTAAAATCGACCGTACCGCTACAATTGTATCTAGGTGCAGGTAGGCAATGTTCCATGTAATTTAGCATCGGCAAATATAAATAAACTCAAATGGAAAACCATCGCGATGCAATATACTGCAGTCCAGATGGAATCAAGCAAAAAAAACTATTATCAGATCAGCGTAGAGCGTTGATAAAAAAAAATTATATCACATTTCCATTGGATTGTATCAGAAGAGGAGAAATATTCTTTTCTTGATTTTACGCGAATATTATACATATTAAATGAAACTAGTTTACGGATCCGTTTCATTTAATGAGAGGAGAAATGTTGGTAATAATGGCCTCAGTCCAGACACCCGCGTCACCGAAATAGGAAAGGACTCAACACAGGAACAAAGTTCGATAGACTCCGAAACACCCAACGAACACACGAATCACCTTTGATATTGTCAATGTAACGACCCGGCGCCCAGCGGACAAGATGGCGGCACGCGCACTAGCCACAAAATGGCGGACGCGCGGTACGAACAAGATGGCGGACGCACTAAGCCACGAGTATATACATGCAAACGAGCCAGTGATATCACTAGTATTTGAAATATAAATTTTGAACATCGACGCCCGGTTTCTGAAACACTGGTCAATTCAGAGAGTATAACCATCCTTATGGCAACTAAAATGAAATTTTAAAAGCCATTTGACAGTTAGTGACAGATTAGTTAACATCTACGATGATCAGTGTTTCAGAAACTGGGCGTCGGGCTTTCTTGTTACTTTGACATTTTAGAAACGATCCTAATGAAGTTAGGAGCTATTGGGAACACCCATTATGAATTGTTTTTATGGTTATTGTATTGCAACAATCTAATTGGAGGAGTACTAAGTATACCAAACGAATGTGACAACAGTAAACATTCGTATATATAAACTAGGCCTTATGTAACAAACAGTGATTACTTTATAGATAATGATTCCATCATTTTTGCGAGAACCATTGCAAAACAAGTTGTAAGTAAATGGAAATTAAACATAACGATATCTTGTCTTTACGTGAATATTATACATGTTAAATGAAACCATTTTACGGATTACACGGCGTTGCAATTTTTGCTTTTAAGTCGCAACTTTTCGAACCCATTCCTTTTATGGGATGGAATTAAAAATCAAAATTATAACGCGATAAAGTCCGTAAAATAGTTTCGTTTAATTGAATATAAATAAAAAGAACGATTCCATGCAAATTAGTCCCTAATTTCGCAATGCTTCCTCATCATTTCTTCGGGTAATCGGTGTAAAGGGTAGAACTGTGAGAGAACACACGAGTTACATCGCGTCAGCTGGGCTATATCGATTCCGAGATGACTTTAACCGTCCAGAGCAAACGCCTTCTTGTCCGCCGCCTACCGGGCCGAGCAAATACACGTAACTAACACCAAGTACAATATTGTAATCTATCCTAAAACAATGCCTTCATTCGATTTATTCACAAGGAAAGCGCAACTCCGACGAAGGTAGTACAAACGGTTGTCAAATGAAACGGTAATTTTTACCGCAGGTTGAGTACGTTCGATCTTAACATAGATATATCTATTTCATCCAAAAACATTGTGTATATTATGTCCTCAGAACCGTATAATGCATATTGAACTTTGCAATGTAGTCAAATGAGATTAGTTCGTTAGCACTTTGTGGGAGTTAACCGCTTTACGAAGTTTAATACTATTCTTCCTTTACCCATAAGACGCACAAGAAACGTGTCTTAAATTTATAGACTAAAAACACATTGAAATTGAACAAGTTGATATATTCAGAAATACTTCGGTATCGCTAGAAACAATGCCGTTATAATAATAGTACAAAGCTGAACATGCTCTCAAGAAAATACTTAGTATTCTTATAAATACATACTTAATAATTAAAAATTGTATTTTGTACTACATCATTTAAGCTAAAATATATCACGTTTTTTCAAAATGTCAGACAATATTTATATTATGGTTTAGAAATGGCTAACTTTTTTGCCAGCCAATTATCCGTTGTCAAGTTTATAACAAACAGCATTGATAAAATAAAATGCACAGATAATGCACATCCGTTTCTTATAGGCTTCCATACACTCTATTCTATTGAGCAAACCATGTAGTTCGGAAGCGTTTGGCAAAATATCATTAGCCACAGTCTAAAAAAAAACGACTAGATCACTTCTTGGTATGTCCAAGTCCGCTCGATAGAACAAAAGAAATTGACTCACGCACAACTTCCGTCGAGGACATGCCAAATGAAAACGTGTCTCCATATCGTAATATGCCATTGCTTACACTAAAAACATCTTTGAAACCGCGGGAAATTGCATATATAATATGACAAATATTGTTGTAACGTAGAATTCTCTACATAAATATATCGATATTATAAATTGCTTTTACTTAACATTTGAACTTGAAGAAATTCAATTGATTAATTTCGATGAGAAATATTTTTCATTGTCACTTTCAAAGTTTCATTTCTACTGCTCTCCGTCTCAACTCCCGGTTATAACGAGTACTTTAAGTTTCGACAATATTTAGTCCGAATTAATAAGTTCCGACTGCGTAATTCCTACGTCCATTATTTCAGCACTATTTCAAGTTAGAATAATAGATCCAAGCAAGAACGATGAACAGTACAATGTAGGAAAAGATATTTTAATACTACAAATATGTTATTACGTACAGACGGGACGTTTTCGTGTTCAAACAAAGAAAGAGTCAGCAAATAAGTCTAATACGGGGACGAGAAAGACGGATGCAGCTCGAGTTTTGTTTTTACACTTATGCCAAAGTGACAAACACTTGCCGTTCTGTTTTGTATTATTGCTTTAATTACGCTATCTTTTCTATACCAATCGAACGAAACGTGTTAATGCGTGCTGTCACTCTATTTGGACTATTTCCAACACTTTCGACCGATGTTTTTGTATGCGTATATAAAATATCATTGAATGCAGTTATAATTAATCCAAGGTAAAGGTTTTTTTTTTTTTCAGTATCTGTCTCAACCATCTACTTTACAACAGATTCTGATTAAAAAACAAATGGACGCAGAAACCAAGCAGTC